CACATTGTAAATGTCAATAGAAATAACTTCGGAATAGAATTCCTATACATCTGCAGCGATTTATCAACAATCGAAACGGTTGGTAACATAGTTAGGCTACACAAACGTACTGCGCCGTCCTGTAATAGGACGCTTCCGTCTGCATCGCACAATAGCACCGACGACGTCCAATGCGCATTCGATAGATTATATCTATTAAGGCCACAGTACAGCCGAATTGAAGGACGCTAAATTGCAAAGCTGATTGGATGCAAGTAAGGCCTACTGTCCACGTAGATCGCACGTCATGTGCATGCTTTCGCCAATTGACGGCTGCAAGACGAATGCGTCTTGCGTAGAATAAATTGAGTGGAAACGTTTCGTCATTCACTCCTCATATAAATCTGCTTATGATAATTTGTAGGTTGCATGCATTCGTCAAAAAACACGTAGGGGGACAATAGGTCTTAATGTTGTCCGTCTAAGTACACTGTGTTGTTTTATAATCTAGATCTATTTATAATATAATCTAAGAGATTTTATAATCAAAAATGTTTGCTTTTGGGTGTCATAAAGGGGTACAAAAGGGGTTATTAGAATGCTTTAGCAGACAAAAACTTAATAGACACGTTTCTGGAATTAGTATAACAAATAAGGAACATTCAAAGTGAAAATCTATAGTGATATTTATATAGAATGTCCTTGTTACGATTTCCACGCAAACTGTACCAACACAAACTAGCAATAGCCATACACTAGATACACAAACGCCCATAGGCAAATGATCGTCCAGTCATCGTGTTTCAAATGTATGAACTAATACAATTATCGTGGGGGAGTCAGTCAGCGATAGATCGCACTGACTACTGACGTATGTTGATACGATTGTCCGCCTGTTAAACGATTTCATTTGAATTTGATCACTCGACTGTCCGCCAGTGATAATGTTAGTAGGGGCCCGCTGACGTCAAATGTCCGTTTGCTAACACTGCCTTGATATACAGTCAACAGCACTTCAACCTACTCCAGTCTGTCAATGTTCATTGGATTTTCAATTTTATATCAATACGATAAAGTTGATAATGTAATACAGAAATTTAACCGAAAAGGTTAGGTTGACTTGCTAGCGACCGTACATTCACGTACAATATGCAAATCGAAATCTGTCATTACATCTGCATTCATTTACATGTTCAGTTTTATATACTTCAAATAACTCATTCATTGGACGTTGATTAAGCGAGAACAAATTACGATATTAAACTGTCAAACACCAAGCGGTCACCGGTGACCGCGACCTATTGTTCTTTAATTGTGTCTATAAAACCGGTACTCGACGAGTTAATAACAATTTGATTAAAAACTATTGTTTCTATAAAAGTCTATAAATTATGATCTTCAATGAATTGTGTGTTTAGATAAAAGGTTATAACTGTATTATTGATTGAAACCTTTTAATTGTATTGAGTTAAGTGAGATGATCCATCATAGTTAATTACCTATAACATTGTCTATCGATCGTTATTTATAACAAAGTATAAGATTAATTTTATTACCTGACGTTTATTTTTTCCTTCTTAATTAGAATAGTTACTGCTACATGCCATAAATCAAAACGAACTTATTAATATTAATTTGCAAACGGAAGAAACATAATATCAAATTCCCCAATTCCGAGGTATATCTTGTACAGACATCGATAACCCTTCATTCCGGACATAATGTACGCATAATTGGCGTAACATTTCCATTGCGAACCCTTTCAAGACGCCTGTAATGTTGAGGCCTACATGTTATTTAATTACACAATCTCGAACACAATGAGAATTATACCAACTCCTTTGCGTCTCTGATGCATGGAGGGGGCCACAGAGCCGTATTTAGACAGAGGGATGCGAAACAGTTATGATGCCAAAGTGTTATTAGACGATATTGTAAGTAAGATGTTGTGCTGTTCATTAACATTCAGTATTGTTTGATGACTGAGCTGTTCATCTATTCTAGGCATACCTATAGTAGATATGTATAATTAAGCTAAAATTAAACAGTGTCACAATCAAACGTTATTTCTGATTACGTCCCTGCTTCGAAAAGGTTAAAGCCATGACCGGAACGCCTCGAAATCATAGGGCGAGAACTATGAAAGTCTTCCGATTTCCCTTCGAACTCATAACATCCTTGGTAACGAAGGAGCACCCTCAAGGGTGTCCCTTACCGGGGGCACAGTCCGACTCAATTATAAACGAATATATCAAAATGACTGAGTAAGATTCACGTTGAACCTTACTTACTAGAGCCTAAAGTTAATATAAGATTAATTATTAGGCAGTATTGGAGATAATTAATTTTCTAATTAGGTGTACCGATTTAAGAGTTAAAGTTAAAATATTCCTTTTAAGCTCATCCTCGTTTAAAGGAGATCAGAAACGGCTGCTAGCCAATGAATTCTAATTTTCAATAGTAAATTAATAACGCAGATTAGCTCTATAGTACGCCATTTAAATAGAATCGCGGTGCATTACAAAAGCGCTAGATGCCCACGCGATATTGGACTATTCAATACAATATCTATTATGAATGGACGTGGTCCGCGAAGGTTGATTAGGCTCGTCGGCTCTATTCCAATTTTCATGGTGCACGGCGATCCATAGGCCTGATTGATTGTTATTGGATCGCGGTAAACAGTGTACGACTTGCTCTAAAATCGTAGCCATACGTAAACTAATATTATTATTAAAAATGGGATTCTCTATTTAATACCCCGTACAGAAATGATGTCCGTGTGTCCATTTTCTTACATCGCTAGAAATTAACCTCATAAGATGTTTAAGATCAATCTTATCGCCATCAGAGATCGGCCATTTCACTGTTATTATCGATCAATTTTATACTGTTCAGTCATTTTAATAATCCTAAGGCGATACATTATTTCCAAACTCGATCGTTGCAGTTTTACGTTTATTTTTTCGCTTCATATTTCAGAAGTTTCAGGTTAAAATGTGTCAAAATGTAATAAAGAGTGGTAAATTCCAGGAAACTGGTGACTATTCATCTCAGGCTCCATGAAGCACTATTGGTGGCGCGAGCTTTTGTAACTAAAGTGGTATTTCACAGCGTCGACGCGTACACCGCTATCTGATGATTGGTTTTTGGCAATTAACAGTATTGCTCACGTCGCAATCGAGTTCATTCACCGTGTGAATTATGTATGGAGCCTCCATTTCCCTCTTTGTTGCCGTTCTACTTACTTACATCCATACGAGCATAACGTAGCCGAAATATGATATCTTGTTCATGCGTTTGTATCCCACGCAGTGTGCGTGTTAGTGTTTATTTTATTTGCATAAAACTGCGGGATTCCTTTAGTTTACGGATCACTGAACATTATTACAATAGATAGTAATTATAAGAAGAGACAGGTTGCGTGCTCGACACCTGTTGGTAAGCGAGCTTCAGTCGACCCTTTACACTATTGTACTATTGTGACTCACAATGATTGATACGAGCGTGCGTTTTTTCATCGAGAGAAAGACAACGCTCTGCAGCAATATCATTTTATAACAGTGTCGGATTGTAGAACGGAAGAGCCGTCGATAAAGGTGTTAGCACCAGTAGATAAGTTGTCAAAAAGCTTTTAAACTAGATCGAAGATCGCCAAATAGTCTAGGAAACCCATTAGCAGCGATTTCACGGCTATTATAAACACCGTACAATTTACACTGGCTTAGCACTAAGCACCTAGTTTTATGAAAATTATTACAGATTGTTAGTAACAATAATTTTGTAGTGTGCACTTAGCGGTCATATAATTATAATGCATGTTTCAGAAGCAATAATTATTTTCGTTATACGCTACAGCAAGCTTGCCGACCTGTCGTCCCTTTATTAACATTTAAATTTATATTAGCCCAAGAGAAATGTCTACCTCGATAATATATCTACGCCACCTTTATGTCGTTTGTGACATGTAAAATAGTTCTCAGAGCTGACATGATGCGAATTAATGCGTTATTATTTAATGTTTAAAGCTCAATATGGCGCGTATTGTCTTCAATAGAATTAAACCCTTTGTCTCAAGGCGTCAGTTCACCGTTGCCATGTCGCCTGACATTTGTACAAAGGTTACCTCCATTCTGTCGGTTTTCTTTTTACCGGCTGACATCACGTTGTATTCGAAGAAAGGGTGGTATTGTGTTGATCGAATTAACCTTTACGTTTGTTTGGACTAGCACTGCGCTATGATTAAATGCAAAATGATATGACAAACTGTGTCGTCGTACATACGATATAATATGCAAAGTTATTGTAATTTCACAGATTACGAATTACGGCTGTATACATTTTCCAATTATGGTAGCTTTGACCTACAGCAATAAATGTACGTCGTTTATACCTCAAACAAATTTAAACCTTCAATGTAGCGGAGCAAAATTGTCTTAATAAATAGCATAATTATGGTGATTACGTAGACGTCAAAGGAACCCATAAAACTATCAATGAACCTATAAATCGAAGAAAACGTTGGAACACGCGAGCACCGGCTTGGGAAAGTACAGAAACAAATAGATAACATTAACAATAAGAGACGTTGTGTGGTTATAACGTGTGAAAATACGTATAAAAATGGAATTAATTGAACACCCACAACACATTGTGGTATAAACAATTATGGAAGAGGCGCCGATGGGTCGGTGGCACGGAAAGAAAATTGGCAACATAAGGCACGCCGTGTAATATGAGAAAATAATAGTTTTAATGTTGGAAATAAATAACGCGCCGAGGAGGAAGACAATGCTCTCGTAACAAGATCTCCTGTTAATTGTGGCCAATGCGGCGCGGACCATTCAACCGTGATTTATGAACGTGTTCAAATTAAGCCCTATTTGTTCTTTACGGAATCCCTTGCTTGTTATCGACGGTTTCCACATATTTTAGAGAATACGAATACTTTGTAACAGTACCCTGGGCTAGATTCATATGGTGTCTGTAAGTTTACAATGCAATAGTAAGATAGTACTCACCCCGCATTTTCTGCTCGTCGAGAAGTTGCCTTTCCAGGTTGTCTTTTACTTCTCGTTCCCTCAACACGTCCATTTTAAGTTCAGCTGTAACAAAAAATTTTTTCGTTAAAATAAGACCTGCGGTGTACAAAAAGCACCAAGAATACCTAAAGAATCTGTCTTAAATCTCAAAGTTCAATAAGATAAATCCAATAAAAGAAAATGTTGGCATAAATAACATTTTAAGTTAAATAAATGGTTCATTGTATACAAAAGGCATTGTATAAATTTAACAGTGAACTAAACCGGTAACAAGGCTTCAGCAAGGGGCCGATTAGGAGCATAAACACGGATTAACTCATTCGGAATCCCGGTACTATTGTGAAGGAGTCGAATTGAGAGATTTGCATAACTTTCAATTAAACCTAACCTGACGGAAATGATTAGGGGAGCAACATCCGATTTGTGTGAACTTCGTACCGTCTAATGCTAAACTAAACTAAATGTATTATGTGTTGATGGATTCGATTTATATTAAGTAGAACACACAGAGAGCATGATTACATTGACGACATTAAATAATCCACCATAATGGTGATGGCGTAATAGCACCCAATGAAACACATGTATTTAAAGTAGATGAATGTTCGTCACGGACTCTTTAAGCTGCTACAGCCATTCTCACTCAATAATGGCATTAGCGACATTTGTATAACTATCATTGCTATAAATTCTAAGTACAGATAGTTGAGTGTCAAGCTCTAATTGGCTGCAGGTGATACAGTTACATTAGGTATGCAAGATATCTTATCAACTCTGTCAAACGAAACGATGCTACAGTTGTTTTAAAATGGTTATGAGATATTGTTTCGAAGTTAAAAATGAAGAATTATTTGCCTATTCATTTGTGTATTCTAGTTTTCTATCCAACACCCGGCAACTACTTACAGTTACTACTGTACCGGTAGTACTTCAACTTCGTTATTAAAAGTCAACCGTTCTGATGAAACATGAAGTACTAATCTCAAACCTATCCATCACATATACGCCAATCGTTTGTTCCACTATTGTCTCTAAATCTACACTAGCGTAAAATAGCGTACACAAAAGCACAGAAGGGTATGCATTCAATCAGGTTAATCTCGCCATCGATAAGCGCCTAGTATAACGCCATACGTATGTAAAGTCATCTGAGGAGTCGAATTTGAATAGAAAGAGGTCATGCCCGTTTAATTTGGTCCCTTATTCAATTAGGTGCCTAAGCTGCGTCTATCTAATGGAGGTCGTAAGGGGATCTCGCTGATTAACTCGCGTTGTTAGCACCTAAGGATACTGCAGTTACTTGAAAGATTTAATTTGAAAATATGGCTGAGAGGTGCTATGAGGTCTGCAAGGGGTGTTCCGATGAGAAAATTGTAATTGATGCTTAGTGACTGTTGAGTAGAAGTACTGTGATTTTTGTTGTTCGTGTTTAGATTTGATTGAATATAAGGGCCATTTAAAACGGTTTTCAACTACAAATCAATCTAATAAATCACGACAAACAAACAGAATAACATTCACTACCTTACTTAGTTCTGGGTGGAGTAGTCAGACTGGAACCCAGCACAATATCTATATTAGGGTTAAATAAATACTTTAATATACGTGGCTTAGGTTATCGGTCCCGCAACTATCTTGTTCAATACAAGGAGAACAGTTTCACTTAATAATTCCATTAGCGTTTTAATTATTCCAGCGGATTCGATGTAAGGTAACAGTCTATTAACAACCGCTGCTACTAGACAAACTGATAATAGATAAAGATACATATTGGTACTTGCATGTATTTAGATGTGGTTATATTCCATTTGATTGGAATTATGTGCTAGAAATATTTGATTTAGATTTTAGAACAATGTTTGTTAGAAAATTCCAATGGTAGATAGTGAATCAATTCCAAAATTTTATCTGTTGCTTGTTGTAATTGCAAAAAATCTAGCAATGTGGCAGTCAAAGACCGATTCTTTAAAACTGTTTTAAATATATTGCTCATGCTTTTCAGGCTTTCATTGGAAAACCAATGAACTGTAGATATATGAAAACAAACGATAAACAAATAATAGCCAATTACCAGTAATTCCTAAAGCGTCAAAAGAACTGGTGACCACAGATACGCATCTACAATGATACGAACATACGAGCAAGGTAGCTCGGTCGGTGCTCATGCGCCGTATCGACGAACAAAAATCTTCACGATAAACCAGAGACAAGTTAACTTGCGTTCGCGCAGCTTATAATAAGGTCCCGAGATAAATGTATGAATATCGCACAATAGCTATCTGGGATTGTGATCTTGTAAATTGAAACGTTCGGTTACTCATCGTTTGTTACTAATATTATTTTGTATTCAATCCCAGTTTTGGCCTCGAACACTAACATCTTCGTGGGTTTCGAAGGTAATCAGGCATTTATGTGGTGTACCCAGATACCTATGTAGGAATATATAGTCTTTATCAATCTCGATATATCATTTAAACGCCACAAGAAAAGCGATGATCATGTATATGGTCTTTATAAAAAGCAATACAGATTTGTCGCAACAGACAACCTGTTAAGCAACCTCAAAAAGGAGGAGGTGCTTATTTTTATCGATTTGTCATAAATCCTCAGCCACAAACATCTATAACAATTTTTAGGAACAAAAAGCGTCCATCCAAGACCGCATCGGTTGCGAGATTAATTTCGAATCAATCCCGGTGTATGCTGTAATTTAAGGGGCTTTTAGTTAAGAGTGGTTTCGCACATGAGACGTAAATTACCTTTGTCGAGGGATGGCCATTAAGGGCCCGCGTCGGTATGCGGCGTATCTCAGCATCTCGCGATTTGCGAGTAGAAGAGCCTTAACAAAAGGTGCTCCCGGTGGTCCTTGCGTACTTAGCAACCATCTAACTATCTCCGTATTGTTTTACTACAGCGACACAGATACTCCACATCGATCGATTACTACGATTAATACGCTACACATCCCGATGCTAGTCATTATCAAAAATTTTATAATAATCATATCCCATCCTCAATCGAATCAAATGAAAACGATTACTTACATCAAAATTAGCGACCCATAAATCATCGAAACACAGACACTAAGAAGGCAAAACATAACCGATCCTATGAAAACGTTTATCGATAAAAGAGAAAACCAAAACATAAGCGGAACACTCGATTATTAAATCGATCTTTATATCGGATCAATCAAATTTAAAACCTGATCGACTTGCGTCCGACGAAAAATTATTACTTTATAAATAAAATAACAATAAAAACGATGCGCTCCGTTCAAGGGAATATATAATTATGGACAATTATTATGATATCGAAACTCAATGGTCGATAGATGATTGAAAGGATCGAGACCCATAAACAAAAGGATCAATTTTGATTACGCAATTTAATAATGTTTCGAAGGTAAGTAATTAGCTGATAATCATAATCGATACTTAAACGATTTTGGAACAGGGAATACGAAAAGTCAAGTTGGTTTTTTATTTATGTTGTTGCCGGCAGTCAAATGTGATTCCCGAGGAGGGAAGGGTCGCGAGAATAAATTCTATTTTTCTTCAATTTTGCTGCACTCAGCCAAAACAACAATAATATTTAAATTTCGAATGAGACGTGCTTCAGGAGATCGGGTGCGCACCGACTTATTTATAATAATGACTCCTCGGAGTGTCGTTTCCATTGCTTCTGTACAAATCCACCGAAGTGATTGAGAACAAATTAAAATACCATTAGTAACTACAAGTTCGAACAATTTAAAAGGTGTTAGACAAAACTGAGAATTTATTACCTGTCTGTGAAATAGCTTAAGTACAAAGAATGAAACGGTTTAATTTCAATGAAACATAAGTCATAGGGTGAGCGAATTAAGACATATTTTCACGGCCCCCGCCATCGCGAACACGAAGTTGAGCTTGCAGTTAAAATAACAATTAAAGTCTTGGTAAAATTTACGACTCAAAACTGGCAAAATAATTTAAACGAGCGTTGCGGTGGAAGCGACCGAAATGGGGCTTTGAAATGGGAAACAAAAGTGTGCATTCAGATCACACCCCGGCTCCCTTCAGACGTTTTAATACGAATGAATCGGAAGTCTCCGACAGTCTTAAGGTGAAATTTTAATAGTAATAGCATAAGGAAATATTACTCACGAATATTGTTGATTTAAGCACTTTTAGAGCTTTAACAAAGACGCCTGATATGATTTATACAGAATATTTTATGCGTGGATTAAAATCTACCTAGAGATATAACAGTGGAGCTGCCCTGCTTATAGATTAAGTATAAACACATTAACGGAATTGACGATCCTCTTAAAAGGTAAATTCAAAGTAACGGTAATGGTTGTCATGGCGCGGAAAACGAATTTTCTTCCCTATGCCTTTTTTTAAATTTACAAACCGGTGGCAATTTTATTTTATTGTTATTAGATTTTTCCGGCTTATGTCACACAGCGATGTCACTGCGGAGGATTATTCCCGCAGTCTCCACGCTAATAATCATAAGAATTGCTTCCCTTTATTATGTGTGAAATTTAGAACGTAAAATCTTTTGCGGTCGTTACTTTACTACGCAAATTTTCACCCTACACATCACGAAATAAGAGTATTTTTTAAAAGGCAAGCCCCCGAGTGCCCTTCATAAAAAACACACTTGCTAGTACTACTTTATTTGACGGGAAGATTTTGTCATACATGTGTAACACATAATTTTATGAATATATTATAAGGGATTTGCATTTCGTATGTCGCTACTGAGTCGTAGGTTTGACGAGCGTCGTAAACCTTGGCTCTCGTGTATAGCCTTATTACTATGGTAAAGGTACAAATAATGAAGATGTCGTCGCAAAATGGATTAAAAAGTAGTAGCGTATCGAGCGTGCACTGTCTGAATAACTCGTGGTGTTATCGGCGCACGCGCACCCAATCTGCGATCGAAACACACCGGATAAGATTATCCGGTAGCCCTGTATTATTTTAATGAGACTACACGACTCCTCGAGATTCGATACGATACGAAAAAGCTTAGGTAACGAAGGGAATAAAAAATATACGGGTCAAAAGAGA